AGTTAATGGTTTTTATATTTCTTGATATTTTTTATTCAAATTAGTTATTATTATTTTTTAAAATTTCTTATTTAAATTACGTTTTTTTTATCTTAAAAAAATAACACAAGAATAATTTGAAAATCTTCTTTTTTAAAAACTATTTGTTATAAGTTAAATAACAGATTTTCTCCTCAACTGTTGTCAACTCTGTTTCCTCTTCTACATTTTCAAAACTGAATGCAGCTTACAATAACAGCAAAGTTTTTGTGCGGCATAGTTGGCAGAAGGGCCATTTCATAGGCACAGTTCACAAGTCTTATATACGCGTCATCCGTTAAAACTTTTAACGAAGACGATATTGACGCTTGTCAGTGAAAAACCCAGAGGTTATTAGGGGATACCGGTTTTTTTTCAGCATTGTTGAGGGGAGGGGGGGATTATGTTTTTGATTTCCCCCTCCCCTCATTCTCCTCTAGTTAAACGAGTGCCGCAACAATAATTTTTAATCACGATTTTGTTAATATTCATTTATGTTTATCTTGATCAGTTTTATCCTATAATAAGGTGTTGATTTAAAGGCATTTTTTGAATACATGAATTTACTGGTGGACGATGTTACTTTAGCTAAAAGAAAACTATTTTACTTTTTTTTTAACACACGCATATACCACGCTATCAGTAAATAATTATTGAAAATTGTTTAAAGTATTTTAAACAGTTATTAACTATATTTTAGTAAATTTAATTTAAAATAATAATTAAAAATATTTAAAAAAATTTTTAATCAATATTTACACTACATAATATATTTACATATATCGCATATATAATATATTTACATATATATCGCGTAATATTTATAAAATCAACGAAATAGTTTAATGTCTTTTAAATGCTTATGTTTTTAATTTAAATTAAAAACATAAGCATTTAAAAAACAAATTCAATAACCATTTAATAAACATATTTAATAAACTATTTGAATAAAAACATAAGCATTTAATAAACTTAGTTTCTATCATTTTAAATTTAAAATTTTGGTTTAAATATTAGTTAATCTGTTCATTTAACTTTTACCAAAGGTTATAATTTTTAAAGTGATTTTAAGGTGCCTTTTAAATTAAAGATAATTAAATAAATAATTACAGTAAACATAATTTTAAAAATATTCTATTATTTAGGATTAAAAACCATATTATATTTTTAAAAACATTCCGATGGGAAATGAGCTAGTAACTAGCTAGCAAATAGCTAGCTAGTCGCTACTTATAAGTAAAAGTTATGAGGATAGTTACAAGTTTGCGGGATAGTTACAAGTTATTTTTTACTTTTGTTTATTCATTATCAAAAGCAGTTTACTCTTAATTGCCAAAAACAAAAATTAAACATACGCTGAATGGATATTTAAAATTGATTTAACTTTCAAAAAAGCAAATCTTTTATACATTCCATTGATATAAAATTTTGCAACGTGATTTTAAAATTAAGTTTCGTAACGACTTTTATCTTTTTAAAAGTTATGTCCAGTTAATAACCGAAGGCAAATTACGTCACGTAGTTATGTAAAAAAGCAATTTCTTTTTAATTCTTTTTATTTTCAAGAAGAAAAAATGAGGCAGCTAAATTAAACTGATAATTATTTATATACTACTGCATTTAAAACTAATTTTTTTTTACTTTTTTTCATAAAAAATCATAAGAAAAATTTAAAATAAAAATTATTTTGGGCGCTTTATTTTGGGCGCCCATACCGGTAAAATGGTACTAAAACATGTCTGGGTTCTTCACTGCTTGTATATTGATATTGACGCTTGACTTTTACAACCTTGTAATATCGCTTCTCTATTTCTTGTACAAACTTTGCAGTAAATTAATACATATGTAGTTCCGTTGGTAATTTCAGTTCTAAAGTCTATTACCTCTTCAACTTTCCATTTAATAAATGTTGACATCATTTATTTGTTTCCTTTCTGAATATCCTTGATTGCGAACATTCTAATCAACAGAATCGTTTTAAATTTGAGTTAAAATAAATAATAGTTAATAAAAAACCTATACTATGAAAAAAAACTAATTTTAAAAATTACTCTATTATTAATATTTATTTTTATTATAAACAATGTGTGGAATATTTCAAACAATAAATCAAGTAAATCTTACTTGATATTTTCACAAGATTATAAATATTCTGCAGTTTCAATTTTCTTATAACGGTTTTCTAACTTTCTATTCTTATTTTGCGCATTTTTATATTCGCATTGTCTTTCCACGTGCTCATTCTATTATTAAAATTAGTGACTTTTAACGACTTCAAACTGCTCATTCATTTTGTTTGTGCAAAAGAGAATGATGTAGTGCTTTTTATATTTTATATCAGTGCTTCGATTATATAATATCTTAACTTAAAATTCTTTTTTTAATATTTTATGAAAATAAAAAGATAACTTATTATTTTTTTTGTCCCGAAATCTTGGACAAGCATTATTTTATACGCTTGTTATAAGCTGAATGAGCATTGTTTTTTCGCGTTTAGAACATTTGAAAATACTGTTTAAACACTCGCTTCATCACAAGCGCTGGCTTTACTTTTATATTTTCTTTTTTTTAAATGTAAAATGTGATTAACTCATTTATTACTCAATTTAAATAATTTTGAATTCAACTATTCTAAAGTAAAACATTTTCCCTTTTTTAAAAAAAACATTTAGCTTTTTTTAAACTAAATGTTTGACTATGGTGGCATTTTTTTCATGAAAAAACTATAATTGTCAATAAAAAAAATATAAAGAAAAGTCTTCAAATTCTGAATTTAGACAACATCCAATCACCCAAATATATTCAACACTATCGAAAAGGGTCTGTAATAGCCATTATATACGAAATTGTTATGATGCAATAGTTATTTATCTTATTGTTTATATTTATTAACCAATTGCAAAGTTTGTTTTGTGCCTCATTTGTGTAATAAAATATTTTCCTTGGTTTAAAAAATATATTTCTATGATTAAAGTCGTTTTAAATGGCTTTAGCGATTAGCAAATTTTTAGCTTTCTGAATAATACAGTAGATTAAGCCATGAAGTAATTATTAAATAAATTATTTCTGAATAATTTATTACAAAAAGATTGTTTTATAAGATTTATTTTTAGGAAGCATGCTGACTCCAAAATCTTTTTGTTGGATTTTTTTTAAAAAAACCTAAGTTTAAATGCTTTTTTTTCCCTAAAGGCCTCATAGTTAATTAGTAAAGTTTATTTTTTTAATTTTTAAAATTTAACTATTTTAATGAAAAAACTCAAAATAAGTTGAATAATATAAATAGGCAACATTGTTTTGTTGTTGCTTTGCTTTAAACAACATTTTACCTGTTTTTGTAACTCAATAAATTAAATATAATATTTTATTTTTTATTGTACATAGTTGTATTCCAATCTTTTAGCACTATTACGATATTTATATTTGATATTTGTTTAGAAGGTTGTTATATCTTCAGATAAAAACTTTCCATAGCTATTGCAGGTGCCATTTTGGTTACATTAAAAATATTTTGTTTAGGAATGCTTCTTGAAAATAGTTAACAGAAAAGTGAACATTTAATTTGCAATTTATTCCTAAATAATTTTACAATTTTTACCTAATTTATTTAAATTTATATATAAATTATATCCTAATGATTAAAAATTTGTTTATTCAATTTATACAAATTTATATGTATATTATACCTAAATAATTAAAAATAAATTTATAACCAAAACTGTTCAAAATTTACTTAATATTTAAAGATCAGGAAAGAGAACAGATTAAGCTAAAAGATGTTTTTACAAAACATTAATGGTATAAACAGAAGAAGGGGGTGAATCCAGCATCTTTTAATGTTTTAAATAACTTCCAGAGAAAGAACAAAATCCAAATATATATATACATACATACATATATATATATATATATATATATATATATATATATATATATATATATATATATATATATATATATATATATATATATATATATATATCATATATATATATATATATATATATATATATATATATATATATATATATATATATATATATATACATATATATATATATATATATATATATATATATATATATATATATATACATATATATAATATATATATATATATATATATATATATATATATATATATATATATATATATATATATATATATATATATATATATATATATATATATATATGTTTATACTTACGTCAAATAAGGATGTTTTGCAAAAAAATGCGATGAACAAAAAAGATAACTGTCACAAATATAAGAACAACAATTTTCTACCATTTTAAAATATATTTATATTCATTGATAAATTCTAAATTTCATACAATAATCTTTTGTTAAAAAATTATGACCTTATAAATTTTGTAACCCCCTTGTGAGAGGTACAAACTTTATATACTCATTGTATTGTAAATATAGTTCTATAAAATTAAGTTTTGAAAATTTTATATATATATATATATATATATATATATATATATATATATATATATATATATATATATATATATATATATATATATATATATATATATATATATATATATATATATATATATATATATATATATATTAGTTCACCACTACAGACGAGGAGGTTACTTGTGGTTATAACCCTCTCTTAACTCTATAACTCCGAAACACAAACCTTGACTACCGCATTAGTTAAATTAAAAAACAAACTTGCCTCTATAAAATGTTGATATATTTGATAATTTTTAATTTGAAGCTGTAACTTTGAATTGCTATTAAATTTTTAAAAAAGTTCAATTGTTATCTCAAGATTTTTAATGCTGAATGCAAAGTTGAAAGTAAGAGAAAAAAATGTTTTCTTAATTATTTATTTTTATGAAAAGAATCAAGTTATCATGGATAATTAATTGATGTTTCAACAGCTTTGATTTTCTCTAAAATTAATGCTGAATATGGAAGATTTGTTCCTTTTCAAAAGACTTATCTCTTTTTTGATTAGATTCCAGTTAATTATGTTGTATCGACACATTTCTAAATTTGCTTGCTTAATAAAAGTATCTTCTTTACAACACATAAGAAGATCATTAACAAAAACATGTGGATACCATAAAATTGAGTTTATACCCAGCAGAATTATTTTCAAAGAGCAAAAATTTATAGAGAGAACATTTAGCTCCTATAAAGGTTAGTTTAAAGCCCAAAATTCTTGTAATTAAATTAGTTAATACAAAAAAATTATAATCAAATTAATAAAGTTAAAGTTGAAACTGGCCATTCAAAATCAACCAAAAGTTAATTATTACATTATAGTTCAAAATGGTCTGTTTTTTTTTAAATTAAAAAAAGTTTAGTATGAAATTGAAATTTTTTCTAAAGTATTTTTTTATAAACTCCAAGATTTTTTTTATTTTTGTTATAATTGATATAATTATTAGTTATATAATTGAAGATTTTAAAAGTTTTTAAAAAGTTTGCAAAACAATAAAATAAAATAAACTTTTAAATAATACTTTTAATAGAATTGCTGAATGCTTTACTTTATTCATCAGAAATTATTATAAACGTACTATTTGTTTTAATAAATCACTTAAAATACTTTATGTAATCGAATTCAGTATATCTGAAGTTACCTTCGAAACTAATAAAACCTTTTTTCTTTTTTTTTATAATTTTTATCGTTATGATAATATTTATATATTTAATATAATTGTATTAGTATTTTTTTTATTATTGTTACTTTTTTTAAAAAGGATCCCCATGATTGTTTATAACTATTATTTTAATACTTTTTAAACTAATTAATAAGATTTCAAATAAAAAAACTAAAAAAATAATGATATTGTTTTAAAAATGTTAATTTAAAACATGACTACCTAGTCAGGTAGGAATAGGTTGTTTTTTTTTTTCAAACTTTCAAAATTTTGAATTTTTTTTTTTTTTTAATGGTTGTTTTTTGATTATTTCACAATCATAATTTTTGGTTATGCAACAATTGTTTTTAGTAATTTTCTCACTTTAAAATAATTATGAATAAAGAGTTTTACTTGTGTAATGTTGTTTTTGCAGAAATCATTGTATAAAGTGTTTTATTTCATTTACCATTTTGGAGCTCTTTTTTTTTTTTAAAGAACATTTTTCGGTGTTAAAAACCTAAAATTTTTGTTTTTATATAACACAAAATTCAATATTTAATTTCATAATTATTGTTCAGTATTTCATTTTGTTCTATTCATATCAACATCGATCATTACAGCGATTAATTGGAAATTATAAAATTTATAATTCCTTAAAGTTAAATGTTTTTAAGGAAATAAGTTAAGTCTTATTAGAAGTTGTAACAAATTTTAACAATATTTTTCAGATAAACCAGCAGTATATACATCGGAAAGTACTGGTAGTGATGAAAATGGAAATGGGACTGAGTCAGCACCATTCAAAACTGTACTTCAAGCAATGAGACATGTTGGTCAAGAACCATTTCCAGTTATAATGGTTGATGCTAAGAATTCAGAATCCAACAAGTATGAAGTAATAGCCAAAGCTCAGTTAAAGAAAATGGTAAAACTTTTTTCACAGGAGCAACGAAAAGCTGAAGATAGAATAAAAAGAGAGGTAACTCTATATAATAAACTGTATAATAAGTTAAAACAATATAAATAAGTTTTATCAAATTAATTTTAAAATGGTTTTTAAAAAATGTGTGTGTGTCTTGGTCAGGGAGACGTGCACGATATTCACACGCCGACCACACCAATAATATTTTGTTTTTTGTGTTTTGACATATTGAGCTCTAACAAAATGGGCTGAAAAAATCTAAACTTAACTAAAAAAGAAAACTTTAAAAAAACTGTTTTTAAAAAAAAAAAGAAAATAAATCTTAATAATAAAAAAAAAGTTAAAAAAAAAGGAATTATAAAGAATACACAAATATATATATATATATATATATATATATATATATATATATATATATATATATATATACATATATATATATATATATATATATATATATATATATATATATATATATATATATATATATATATATATATATATATATATATATATATATATATATATATAACTCAACTATGATAAAATTTAACTAAACTAGAAACTATGATAAAACTTAACTAAAAAAGAAAACTTTAAAAAAACTGTTTTTAAAAAAAAAAAGAAAATAAATCTTAATAATAAAAAAAAAGTTAAAAAAAAAGGAATTATAAAGAATACACAAATATATATATATATATATATATATATATATATATACATATATATATATATATATATATATATATATATATATATATATATATATATATATATATATATATATATATATATATATATATATATATATATATATATATATATATATATATATATATATATATATATATATATATATAACTCAACTATGATAAAATTTTTAAAAAACTAAAATGCTAAGATAATTTAAATCAAGTTTTACTCGCATTTTGAATAAAAAAATTTAATCTTTTATCTTTCAAAATGTTTTTTTATTAATACAGAAAAATAACAAGCTCTAATGATTTTTTTTTTAATAGTTATACGTTTAATAGTTATATACATTTAATACGTTTAATAGTTATACGTTTAATAGTTATATACATTTAATACGTTTAATAGTTATATACATTTAATTTATGTTTTTTTTACTGATTTAAAAATAGTAAGTTTTCAAATAAATAGATGCTTGTAAATAATTATGCTATAAGAACAAATTCCATTAGCAGTGATTTTTTATTTTATTTTAAAGGGTCATTGACAAATTACATTACATAATCAACCCTCAGAATTAGGGTTGGCATTTGGCAATGCCGATCTAACTGCCGACCTGAAAGTGTTTAAGGTCAGCAAAAGATTGTCAACCTCGTTTCTATGTTTTATGGTCAGACCTTTGTATCAGATAATTTTTGTCAACCTGATGCCAACCTCAAAAAGATTGGTCATCAATAATTTGGTGTCCTCATTTTTTCTAATTCCGAGGGTTGCATAATAGATTTGGGGATAACACTTAGAACGGGTAGAGTTTCCAAAATATGGGAAAATTATAATACTTGTTTTAGGTATTCAAAATAGTTCAATTGGTGTTGTGTGGTATTTATTAAAAACTAAAAAATTTAACCAAATCCTTAGAAAACTTTATGAAAATAAAAAATAGAAAAAGAAAATTTACACATTTTTCTTTTTCTATAGTATTTTATTTTACTTTTTAATATCTAAAAATTGAATGTATTATTTAAAATATTAAAAATATTTTATCAAGCAGTAATAATAATTTAATGTTCCAAAAAGACATAAAAAATGTTTAGTGGATTTAGTATATCAAAATTCATTTGGCTTTGAAGTTAGTTGAAAAGTTACCAGCAACCAAAGAAGTTCTTTCGTTGGATGTTGACGTGGGCTGTTTCGTAAATGTTGACGTGTAAATGTTGACGTGTAAATGTCAGCTGAGAAGCAGCATCAATCTTATTTAAATTTGACGTTCGAACTCCACTTGCTTCAAACAATTTAAACTCCCTTAAAATCTCTGAAAATGGATCAGAACAACTAATCTTGGGTCGGAAAGAAACCATCTTTGTTAGGGATTGTTGTAACTGTGTCTTAAGGTTATTATTGGCTTCTTTAGCAACTTCTTCATTTGATGATTTATTGACACTATCCAATACTTTGGTAAAATTTTGTTTAAATATATATTTTTTGTATATTAAATAATTGCTGAATATTTGAAACCTTCATTAATTTGTGACATATTTGAATTAGGGTTTTGCAAATATCTCATTAGTGACACTGAATCGTTGTTGCGTCACTTATTGTATCGCTTTTTGAAGAAATCTGGCATCACTACACTCAAGTTTGACGTTTGTTTAGAAAGATTTTTGAACAAAAACATGTGAACAACTTCACTTGCCAGAATAGTTGAATTATCCTTACCTAGCTCCTTAACAGCCAATTTAATAGGTTTTAACACTTAAATTATTTTTTATGTCATATAAATCAACTTCATCAGAGCAATTTATTTCAATGTCCAAAACTGCTTTTTGAATGCATGGTTTTAATTTTACCAACCATCATGAGAAACAAAGAGTTCCATCGAGTTTTAATGTCAAGTTTTTGCATCAGTTTTTTATTTTCTTGTTCACAAACATGCTTTTGCAATATGGAGTTACGAATGCTTGACAATTTAATCAGTTTACATGAATTATTCAATACAGACTTGATGTCATCTGTAAATGTTCTGTTACTGCTTCCATAAGCAGTTTTCTCTATGATATTTTTAAAAATGTTGCTACGATTCAATCTCTTATAATTGTCATTATAATCAGAATCTGAATCACGATCTTCTTCCAAATTAAGATTAAAAAGAAGTTCTTCGGAATCGTTTGCATTATCATATTCATCAGCATCTTCATTTGATTCGTCACTAAAAAAATGTCCAGTTGTTGCTGGTATGTAAATTTTCGAAAAAAACATCGGTTATGGCCAGATGAATACCATGATTGTGGCACAGTTGACTCTCTACAGGAATTATTTGTCCATATTTTTGCATTACTGCGGCACCATCATGAGTAGTTGAAATTATGTAAGTAAAATCTAACCAAAGTTCTGTCAATTTTTGTTTCACTAATTTTTTGGTTGTGAAAGCATCACAGGAACCATCAATTTTAATAAGACCCAACTTATAAGCAACTTTATTGTGAAGAGTTACATTTATATACTTGTTAATGGAGATGTCAGTCCATTTATTAACTGTTATGCTGAACTTTTCATCATATTTTTTTCAAAACAGAAATTTCATCACACAGCTCTTGTTTTTTTATCTCGTAAACAACATTACTAGTTTTGCGACTGTGGTTTGACTTTTTGGATTTTAAAACACTTTTCTGAATTAACTCATGTATTTGAATTTTGTAATTGTTCTTAAAGACATAACATCCTTTGCAGCACATTTTGCTAGCAATTCAATCAAGGTTTCATGTTTAAAGAATCCATCTACTTTTATTTGTTTTTTTGGAACTTCTGCAACAATATAACTTCTTATTTTTTAACATCATACTAAGGATAGTTCTCATGTAGGTAATCAGACCAGATGTGCTCGAACCTTTGCTTTTTATGAAAAAACTGCACAGGGTACATTTTGCTTCTCTAGCTGAATCATATGACTTTGTGAAATAATTCCAGACAGAAAAGCTTTGTTTTGGCATATTTTTTTTGTACTTGTCTTTTATTTGTTATATATATAAAGTAAAGTAAAATAAATATAACACAAATAAAATTACATTACTTTTATATTATTAATATAAGTAGATATATTAAATATTATAATTAAATGTATAATTTTTATAATGCTAAACAATTTATTATTTCTTAAATATCATTACAAAAACTTTTCTTAAATATCATTATAATAAACTATCATTATAAAAACTTAAGTTAACGCTACAGCATTATTCGGAAATAATGTCCAAAGGATTTGTAATGTTGCCATTGTTAATACTTTTCTAAAAATAATACAAATTATTCAAGGGCAATCATAGTCTTGCAATAGTTACTATACCACAAAGTAACTAATTAATAAAAAAATTTAATTAACTTATGGTTTGCAAACAGCATAACAAAATAACTTCTATTTTTTGTCATTTATTTACAAACAAAAAGTACATTAGTGCAAATTGCTATATTTATTAAGTTCAAATTGTTAAAATTTTAAAAACCGTAAAAAACCGGTATTAAGTCGATTCCAATTTAACATAAATTGAAATTGACTTTTGAAATTGGCTTTTTTATAAATTCACTTAAATTTTAGTTGATTAACGTAGACTCTTTATGAGTCAATGATATAGCCAATCTATCATTGATAAAAAACTAATTGATTATATAATTATTATATGAAAATAATAATATAGTAATTATTAAACAACAATAACAGTTAATACTCATTAGCATTAAATATTATAATGTTAATATAACCTGCACTGCAACATTAACTTATTGTTAAAGAAATTATTTAAATAATATATTTATCAAAAATTTGCATTTATTATTATAATGTAAAACTTCAAAGAATGTAAATAATTAATAAATACAATTATTATTAAACAGCAATAATAATTAAAAAATATAAAATAACTTTCAAATAAAACATAAAAATCCCAAAATTTGTGCTCTTAAAAAGAGTCAAAACCTAACCAATGACAACTGCGCCTCTCAATATGTAATTTTTATCATCTTTTGTCAACATTTTTTGTGTACAAAAATAGTTTTTTCCTGGTGTTAATTTTTCGTGCGTACTCACACTGAGTTGATTAAATTTGTTAAAAAAATATTTCCAAGTATTATAATATTTGCATTTTTTTTCGAGGAATTTTTTTTGAGTGTATTAATTATTCTTATACAAATTAAAAAAAATACTGTTATATAAAAAAGTTGTTGTTTATAAAATCTAAATAATATATATTTTTAAATATTACAATAAATAAATACTTATATAACTTACATTAACTTATTTAATTTAAATTAAAAAAATAATATACAAATTTTATTAATGCTTACAACATAAATAATTATTAATAAATTGTTACTTTATTTAAAGGTGTTTGAATATAAAAACATTAGTTAAGATAAAAGGTTTGTCATTATTTATTTCTAAAACTCTTTTATAAGTCAGTGTATTTTTATGTTCAAAGCTTTGATCAAGTTGTCAAAACAAAATATTATTTGTGTGGTCATATAATCCACTGAGATAGCACATCTTACCTGACCAAGACTGTTTTTGATGTCTCTATATTTGTTGGTGGATGTCTACATTTATTGATGAATGTCTTTACCATTTGTAATTAACTGAAAGCATTATTAAACTGGTGTGCACAATTTTAAAACTTAATTATGTACAAAAAATAAAATGAAATAAAAATGAAAAAATAAATTTTTCATTTAAATTCTGAAAGTAATTAAATTAAAATAGCAAAAAAATAAAGTTAATAATAAATTAACAAAACAGTTAAAATAAAAATAGCATAACAAATATTTAAATTCTAAAAAAGTGTTATTTAAAATAAAAACAAAAAAGGAACATTTTATTCATGTTGTAATAAAATATTTGATGCAAAAGTAACACAAAAAAATAATTAATTTAAATTCTAAATAAATTGATTAAATCAAAAGTTACAAAACATTTAATTGAAGTTCTAAATAAAGTAGTTATAAAATTGGGGGGAAAAAAGTTTTATTTTAAGTTCCTTATAAAATTTTTAGAATATAAAGGCAAAACATTTAAATTCTAAATACGAGCCTTTTATTCAAATTGAGAACAGTTATAATAAAAAGGGAAAAGCAAATGTTAAAATAATTTTAAATTTTTAATTCTAATTTAAAATTCTAAAAATATTATCAATAAATTTGACAAAACTAATATATTATTTAAATTTCTATTAAAATAGTAAAATACTGTTTATTTTTCAAATTTTTAAGCATATGCTGACGTTTGAAGATATTATTGGCGCACTCTGTTTGTTTTCTGTCAATTTTATGCTGTGCTTGCATTTTCCTCAATTTTTATATCCTGTTTCTAAATTTTGTGTTACAACGGTTTTAGGTCAGAAATTTATTGTCAACCTTAATTTTCCTAATTCCTAGGGCTGTGTTTGTGTGTGTGTGTGTGTGTGTGTGTCTATATATATATATATATATATATATATATATATATATATATATATATATATATATATATATATATATATATATATATATATATATATATATATATATATATATATATATATATATATATATATATATATATATATAAAATACAGTATAATTAACTTTCAGGCTGAAAAAGCTGCTCAGCACGAAAAAAATTTGGAAGAAGCAAGAGGAATTGTTATTGTAGAAGACAAATCCCTTCCTGCTGCTAAACTGGTTTGATTTTTTTTTTACTATTATTTAAAACTTTAAAGATAATTTGATTCTAGGATAAGTTTGGTTTATAATAATAAAGATATAACAGGTATTTTCTCAAAAATGGAATGATAGTAATACCCTTATTTTAATAATTATAATAATATTTTTTAATATTTTATTTAATGTACCAACATTTAATCGATTGTTAACAATAGCACGCTTTTGCTATACAAAAGATTTTTTAAGAAAGAAAACAAAGGCCCTATCCTATAAAACTTTTACAATATTGTAAACTTTACATTGTAATTACGCCAAAATTTTGTTACTACATTGTAAAATTCAAGGCGTCCTATAAAACATTGGCGTTTTTATGTAATTGGTGTTTTTATGTAAAATCTAAAAATAGATCTGCAAAAGCAATTTGAAATTGCGAGCTAATTTTGAACCGTAACTACAAAACAAGATATCTTTAATAACACTTATAAACCAAAATAGTAAAGTTTTGAAAAAAAGCTAATGACCTATTTTTAAAATGAATTTTATAAACAAAAATTTTTATTATTTCTGCTATGATAAAAACATTTAAATGATTCGTTTTTCTGCAGGCTAAATAAAATTAAGTTTTTATTTAGCCTGTAGCCTGCTGATAAATAAGATAATAATACAAATCCAGCAAATTTAGTGGATGGGAAATAAAATGGATGATATTTCAATTTACAAACGGGCTCTCAAAAAAGTTAAGTGAGAAATAGGCTAGGCAACCAAATAAACTGACCAAATACTCTTAGTCATAAAAAACCATTAAAACTTTTGTACTCTTTATTAAAGAGTAAGTGGTTAAAGAATATTTTAATATAAGTTGCTCAGGGTTTTAGGGTCAGGTAAAAATGTCGAAACTCCTTAATTCCAACCTAACATATACTTGAACAGGACAAAATAAGTAAATATAAAATTTTCTAGATATTGCATTATATTGGAATGGTTTTTTACTTTTCTTTCCAATACCAAAGATCTTCATAATACCTTTTGATATTAGGAAAAATGACGCTCCAGGTTTTATCAACTTTATATTCCTTAGAGTTGTATTTGGTTATCACTTGTCCAATATAGTTTAAATCTAATAATCTGTTGTATTTGGTTATCACCTGTCTAATATAGCGTAAATCTAATAAGACAAGAGAAAAACTTGAAACTTTTGTTTAAAATTTAATCAACTTTTTAAAACTAAACTTTAAAAAATTGTTTTTATTTACATCAGTTAAATAACTGCAGTATTTGATCCCTCCAAGCCCCTGATTGAATTTCAACATGTGCATCGTCTCTACCTTGTAAAAACAAGGTAAAACTGGAAGATCTTATCCCTTATCACTAACTGTAAGGCACATGTTGTAAAACAAGCAAACACACACAACAAGTTTTGCAGCATTTTCCACTTTAGAAAATCGAATTGGTACTTGCAGAGAATAAAACATGTTTTTCAAAACCCCAAAACATCGCTCAATAATATTTCTGGTTTTTGGGTGCGTATCCTTAAACCAACACTTTGAAGCTGTTTGGTTGTCACTGTAAGGTGTGATGAGCTGGTTGTTGCAGGGTTAGCCTCGGTCACCTAAGATAACTGTTCCAGTAGAACTTTGTTCACCACTGACTTCAAAAGTATCACAAAGTGCTGATTGACGTAAAACATAAAATGTTTGGATAAGAAATCTAAATTTTTCAGACTTGCTGCTTATTAATATTCTAAATATGAAGTGTAGAAAATATAATATTTTGTAGAGTATGAATTTCAACGTGTTTAACAAAGTATCAAAGTTGCTTATGTATAAACAATATCTATTTTAGATAAGAAACAAAGTCCTACAAAATAAAAACTTTACATAATTGTTTATATGGATGTTACACTATTTGTATATTTATCTTTACTTTTCAATTTTAGATATTTATGCTGTTTTTTTAGTTAAATTTATTTAGTTGTATAATTGTTTAGACAATTAATAAATTATCTAACTAATAGTATTAAACAAAAATTTGAAAATATTTTAAAACCTTATGCCAGATATGCCGGTTTCTTGAAATTTTAACAAAAAATTTTTGCTTTTGCAAGAACAATTTTTTTTTAATAAATATATTAGAAACTGAGGGAAATGATTTTGATAGCCTAGTAGTTAAATTGCCAGAAAAAAATACTTTAAAAATCAAATAAATATATTTACAATTTAAGTTGAAAACATAAGCAGTTTGCGGTTGTTAGTAAAAACATTTTATACAAATTCAGTAAAACGAAAATTTACCCTAGAATTATGCTATCACTCAGGTCCATCAGGGTAAACATAATAAATATACAAATCTGGTCCACGAGCGCATATGACATTCAATGAATAAAACTGGGGTGATTGAGGAATGTATTTTTATCTTTTGATGGAGGGATGATTGGTATTTGACTTCCATCAATGAAACCACACACTCTTGGAATCTGAGCCATAGTGTAAATTTTTCTGGGCAGGGTGTCAAACAGGATCAGGCCAATCAATAACTTTTTCTCGTCAAAAAAACAAACTATACAATACTGCATGAACTGTTCGATTGCTGGTATATTTTCCAACACCATGACAATCTTGCTCAACATAATAAAATGAAGCAGTTCTTAAAATTTAAAAAGTTTTAACTATTTTAAATACTATTCAGAATAGAGCATACTTGAATTATGCAAATTAAAAATGAGGCAAAAAATATTCCATCCACACAAAAGCCAAAAATACTAAATAAAAAACCAGTTATACAGAAACAAAAAAAAAACTGGAACTTAAAGAATCTAAGCAGCTTTCCAGATTTATTAAATTAAATATTTAGAAACGCTATAAAATTTACATAATCAATATAAAAATTTAAATTGTTAAAGGGATCCCTAAGTGCAATAAAGATATGATCTCATATGATAGAGCATTAAAAAAAAAAATGTTTGATGTATATTATTTTTTCTAAAACGTAATAATGAACGCACACTAACAAATTTAATTTTCAAAAAAATGCCTTTCTTCGATTAAAAAAAATGTGCCTTGTCCAAAGTTTATTTACTCTATTGCCTCAAAAAACTAACGTTAGTACGTCAAATTAAACAAAGTAGACAAAATGTCATTATTGCAAACTTATTAATTGGTAATTAAATTTAAAAGTAAAGTCGTTTTTTTTCAACTAACACATAATTACTTACAAGAATAAGTTTTGTAGCGTTTTGTGAAAATATATTCGTATATTAAATTTTTTTTTTTATAATATTAATTTATATATTTGTGTTATAAGGGCAATTCCACGGCTAAAAATGAATAGAAGTCAAATTTTAAACTCTTTTTAGTCAATTAAAAATAAATGAATATTGAATTAGACATATGAAAGTTTATATAAAATATTTCCTTAGTAAAAAAATAAATTTATTTCAGTAATTTTTATGGTTTCAAAAGTGACGGTTACTCTCATTTTTGCTTGATAAAAAAAATAATGATTGTAAAATGTTTTAGTTAAATTAACATTTATGTTAAATTGCTATATTTTTTTGGTTCAAATTGAAAAGGTTGAATAGACATTTTATTAGAAATTAAACTAAGACAGGGCTCAAATTAACGCAAAAAAATCTAATCGCGAAAAAAATCTCCTTATATATATATATATATATATATATATATATTTTTTTTTTCTCTCTCCCCTCTCTCTTATAGCTCTCTCCCCCCCTCCCCTCTCTCTTATAGGTCGCGCCGATGTGCGGTAATGGGGGGAAAAAATTATTGTCAATAAATCAAAAAACATCGTCAAAAATTTAATAAAAAATTAGATACCACGTTTTTTATAATTTATTGTTTCTTGAATAAAGGACTAATAAAAGTTTAAATATAATTAAGATTTTCATTTAAATGGTTGATGTTTTTATTCAATTTTTCTATTTCAAGTTTTCCAATAAAAGATAAAACAAAAAAATTTGGTTTAATAAATCGAATTATAGTTCATGTTTAAAATAAGGCTTAAAAACGTTAAAGTAAAAAAATTGCTGGTTTTTATTAGCATTTTTTTACTGTTTGAATAAAAAAAAAACTAATAAAAAAGAATTAACTAATAATATATTAATTAATAATTATATATTTATTCTTTTTTATTAGTTTTTTTTTTTCAAACAGTATAAAAATGCAAATAAAAGTCAGTAATTTTTTTGCTCTAACGATATTAAGCGTTATTTTAAACATGAAGTTTTGATAAACAAAGATAAAAACCAACTTTTCAACTTTTCGCTTTAACGACCTTGTAAAAATTTTCCACGCAGAGATTTAATGTAATTTAAATTCAAAAATGTTTTACGTTGAAAGAAAATCTCCGCGCGAAAGAGCAAAATAACTATTCAGAATAAAAAATTTTGTGTGACGTTCTTTATGATAAAAACATTACTTTGAAGAATTGCTAAAAAAAATGCTAAGCTAGAAAAAAGTAATTAATCACCAAAAAAAAAACGAGTCGCGAAAAGATTTTTTTTAAGAAAAAACTAATCACAAAAGTGTGTGTAGCAATCGCGATCGCGATACGCTTAATACGAGCCCTGTAAGACTTTTTTATAAGTTCTAAACTATTTAAAACTATTACTTAATAACTTTTTTTTAACGACGTCTTTCAACCGAATGCTATTATACTGTTTTTGCAAAACTAATTTAAAAAACTTGATTAAAACTTAACTATTTAATTACAACTTTTTTTTATTTGAAAATCGAAGTAGATATTCTAAAGTTGTTGTGACGTACTAACGTGATTTTTAACGACTAACAATCGAGTTTCAATGGTGAAAAAATAAAATCAAAATGGAGTTGTTTTTTAGTGATTTCGGCAATTGCTTTTTGTTAGCATGCATTTATTATTACAATTTAGGGAAAAAGAAAAAAAACTTACATATTTTTTTTTTATGCTCTTTCATATGAGATCATATGTTAGGAGCACTTAGGGATCCCTTTAAAACAAAGCAATCATTAAATTGTAATAACATATACTCAAAAAATGTAAAATAAATTTAATTTGATCTCATGGAGATAAACTTTTAAACAAATATTATATATATATACAACCCTCCGAATCAGGAAAAATGAGGTCGGCAATATATTTATTGCCCACATCAAACTATTATAGGTCGGCATAAGGTTGGCAAAAAAAATTTGTTACAATGGGGTTACCATAAAACATAGAAACGCAGTCAGCAATATTTTGCTGACCTCAAACACTTTAAGGTCGGCAGTTAGGTCGGCATTTCCAAATGTCGACCCTAATTCCGAGGGTTGTGTATATATAAGAATATATGTATATATATATATACACATACATACATACATGTATATATATAAGTATATATATATATATATATATATATATATATATATATATATATTAGGGATGTACCGAAGCTTCGGCTTCGGCTTCGGCGTGCCGAAGCTTCGGTTCGGCCGAAGCCAGGTCAATTTTTTGCCGAATCTTTGGCTTCGGCAAAAAGTTTTAAGTTATAAAAGTTATAAGCTACTGTGGGACAAGTTATAAAAATAAGCTAATTGCCATTGTCCTAATAAAGTTATAAATTTAGGACTACAGAGTTAAAGTTGGAGTCTATACCATATACTTAGTATTATTTACTCCCAAGTGTCTTGTTATGGAGTGGATAATAAAAAATAAGTAAAAATATTTTGAAAAAAATTATAAAATTAAGGAAGGTCCTCATACACTTTGAAAGCTTCCAAGTGTGACTTTAGATGAACTGAAGCAGCATTTCTATGCAGAATAAAAACCTTATAATTTAAAACAAATTAAAAGTTTTTAATTAATTAAAAAATTAATTAAAAACTTTTTTTGTATTATGTAACGAATTCATATTAATTATTGTGTGGGATTACCGCAAATAGAACAAAATTTGGTTTCAACATTTGACCGATAAACCTTAGTAATCTCTCTTTAAAGAAGATTAAAGATACGTTGCTACTATTTTAAATTGTGTGTATGTTTAATTTTTTAAAATTTTATTTAACCATATTAATAAAAATTTACAAATTTTCATCGTAAATTTGGTTAGGTGTCACTTATATAGATACAAAATAGTCAATGGAGTGACACATAAAAAACAAAAAGTTCTCAACAACAAAAAAGGAAGAAAAGCAAATGAAATATAAACGAGGAGAATAAAAAAAGAAAAAAAAAAGCCAACAAAAACTAGATAAATTAAAAGAAAAAGAAAAATAATGATAATAACTATCCTTGCTCTTTTATTATTATTATGAATACTTCTAAATTGAATTTATATATTAAAAATATAAACCAATATTCTGGTTTCTTCTTATGATATTATGAAGACTTTTAAATTTTATTTAAAATAAATTAAAGGTTGAAGCTTTGATTACTTTGAACTCTTATATTTATCATCAAAATTTATTTAAATTAAATAAACAATTTAAATCAAATAAATATCAGCCTGCTCAGTCCCTGTTTATTTATAAATATAAAGTAAATAATAATATAATTATAAATAAAAAATTTTTAAAGTATTCTATTTATTATTTTATTTAAAGCTCACTCTACAAAGTTGTTAGATTACTTTGGAAGTTTTTATCACTTATAGTTAATATTTGATTTCAGATACTGATGCAGATTTATCCATTATAGAGACAGAAGAAGAATGAATACTAAGATTTCAAAGTATAAAAGATTAAAAAAAGCTATAGAAAATGTTATGCAGTGTTAAGTTGAAAATAATCAAAAAAAAAAAAATACTTAAAAGTGTGTAAAAAAGAAGTTAGAGAGAAATCTATCATTTGTACTTTTTTTTACCAGCAGGAACACAACAGTTGTAGTGGAATCCAAAATGGTTTTAACTTGGGTTTTTTTTAGTTTAGAAATTGTTCGTTTAAAGAATACAGAGAAGTAAAAAAAAAGATATTGAAATAAATTGCAATAAAAAGATAAAGTGTGTTTCTAAGATTTTTTATGTTGTAGATACAACTAGATCAGTTAAGAGTGTTTATTTAAAGAAAGAGTGATCAAGTGCAAAAGATAAATTTACTCTAGTAATGTTCAGAGATTTTTATCCACTTCTATTTAACAAAAGGTGCATTAAAAATAAAAATAAAATATACAGCACATGAAAAAATGCTATATAACATTAATATGGTTTGCACACAGAAAAAGTAGAACTAGAAGTAGGAAAATTTGGGGAGAATGTTTCAAAAAAGCTTAAGTTTAAAAAAAAAACGCTCGATGCGGTCAAGTATCAGAAACGACATAATGAGAAACTTTTAAACAGGGGCGCTGAGAGCTTTTGCCCTGCCTTGAACAGCAACCCTGACTGGCGTCCTCATTTTTATACAATTTTTCTATATTATTAGTCAAGGACCTTAGTTTTGGTACCTTTTTTGTTTTACACCCCTGCTGATCTGAATGCTGATTAAATTTTAAGCATATATAGTGCCGAAGCTTCGGCTTCGGCAAAATTTCAGCTTCGGTACATCCCTAATATATATATATATATATATATATATATATATATATATATATATATATATATATATATATATATGTATATATATATATATATATATACATATATATATATATATATATATATATATATATATATATATATATATATATATATATATATATACATATATATATATATATATATATATATATATATATATATATATATATATATATATATATATATATATATATATATATATATATATATATATATATATATATATATATATATGTATATATATATATATATATATATATATATATATATATATATATATATATAATATATATGTATATATATATATATATATACATACACATACATACATACATGCATACATATGCTTATGCGTACTTTACTATTTAATATTAAATATTTACCAATAATATAAATAAAATAATATTTAATATTGATGTAAATAACATAATAAAATAATTTACTATTAATATTATTTAATACTAATAGTATTAACTAAAAATACCATTTGTAAATACTTTAGACTCTAAAGAGATGCGTATCTCTCTAAATTTGAGAGATGTGCATCTCACTAAATTAGAGAAATGCTCATCTCACTATAGTATTTACAAATAGTATTCGTTATCAAATAGTAAAGTATTTTTTTAACAAACATTAAAGGAACAAAAGACTTTTAACTCTACATACATAAGAATCTCTAAAAAGAGTTTTGAATTTAAAAAAATATGTATATAAAAATTTAAAACTTAAATTTTTAAATTTTTTTAAATTTAAAAAAATGTTAGCAAAATGTTTAATATAGTTTAATAAATGCAGTTATTTACTTATTTTCAATATCTTTGACATATTTTTACATTTCTAACTGGATAAAATTCAATATAAATTACGATTTTACATTCCTTTTGGGCAGTGTAAAATTGTAGTTTACATAATTGTAAAACTTTACATAAAAAATAACTTTTTTATAGGACTGTGTAACTTTACAATATATACAATGTAGCTACATTGTAGAAATTTACATCGTAAATTTGCTTTATAGGATAGGCCCGAAGTTAAGTGTTTTTATTATAATTAAATATAAACTTTTATCTTAAAATTATCTGTCAAAACGCTAATAATTTTTAAAAGTTGATTTGTTCTTGACGAATGTGCATTTATAGTTATTTACTTCTTTTTTGGTAATTTATCAAAACAAATTGTGTTCTATCTTTTTTAGCTTGCAAACCTTTGTACTTTTTTATGACTGAAATGAATTTTTAAACAATACTTGATTCTTTCACTAAATTTTAAAATAGTTTTAACTTTTTCTTTTTGACTTAAACATTTAAATAAACATTTAAATGCTGATCATGGAAACACTTTACTTTTAAATCTAGTTTTTTCTTATACTTAAGGTCTGTAGAAACATGTGATATAAAGTAAATTAAGATTCATCATTTAAAATGTTTTGTAAAACTATAAACTGCTTTAATTTTTGCAAAGTTCTATTTTTGAGAAAAAACTTGTTTTAAAATATATTTTTAAGGTTTTTAATTATAGTTATAATAGTAAGTAAAAATTTTTATGTTTATTATGAAATTTTTTTTGGTCACTTTACCATTTGTTTGTATTAAATGGTCTTTATAACCAAATGTTTTCAATAATAGATTAAAATTCGAAGCACCAATGAGCATAGAGAAGAAAGGGTTAAAATTTATGGTTGGGTTCATCGTCTGCGTCAACAAGGTTAATATTGTTTCACTCTCTACTCTCTTTCACATTTTTGTAAATTTTACCTTCATTAAATAGAAATTTCTTTGTAAATTAATTAGACTTAGGTATTGTCGCACATCAATACATAATGGTTCCATCTTATAAGTCTCTTTATATTTAATCTATATTTCTGATAATTTTATTAGATATAATGAGAAATATAAATTTAAAATATAAAGAATTTTATAACATTAGTGAATTAAATTAAGACAAAAAAAATAGAACATAATAGAGAGGTAACCTTAGCAGATACTATTTTATTAAAAAATAAATCCGGCTGTTTGCCTTACCAAATACTCTTTTATGAAAAATACATCAATCTGTTTGTATATCATTTATATATAAATATGAAGAATATTGTGAATATAACTGAGTTATTAGCAGTAAACAACTGATTTTTGTTTTGGTTAAAATTAACTAACTATCCTGAGCCTCAACCTGTCACAGAAAAAAACATTTTATTCATAACTGACTATTTATTGATTAGCTAATGTTAGAGTTGTATTTGAATTTAAATTTATCAACATGGCAAGTTCAAGCAGTCACAAAAATCTCAAATAAAATAGATTATTTTTTTTAAAGCTATACAAGCACTGACTTAGTTAAGAAATATATAGTTACACCATTTGGGAATTTAGAGGTAAATTTGTTGTGAATATCAATAAAGTATATAAGAAACAAAATTGAGCTTTGTAATGCCTTAAAGTTTAGAATTACGTGAATTTTAGAAAAAAATTCAAAAACATTCCCCATGTAGATTCTCCTAAAAAGATTAGATTTGATTTGAAAGGTTTGAAAGTTGAATATTTATATATATATATATATATATATATATATATATATATATATATATATATATATATATATATATATATATATATATATATATATATATATATATATATGCTAATAGTAAAAATTTTCCAAAAACATAACTTGATATAACTATTAAAAGAAATTTTTTGTATATTAATCAAATCAAATTGTAATGTTAAGTCTTTAAACTGTAATGTAAATATACAAAAAAAAATTGTATTCAAAGTTTAACTATTAACAAAAATTAACTAAAAAAAAAAAGAGTAAAAAATAAGTTAAAAAATGTGCCCTTATCGCTAATAAATTGATGTTCAATTAAATTCCAGTTAAAATTACAGTTTTTTAAAATGTATAAAATAATTTTAATTATTTGATACTTATATTACATTTTAAAAACTGTAAAATTTTAACTTGAAATCAAAAAACTACAACTATACTTGTTAGTATTAAAACTGAGTGTAGTATAAATAATCACCAGGTGTTCAAATTTTTATTTATTTTTTTCAAATTTGTATTAAAATTTTTTTTAAATAAGTAGATATTGTTTTTAAATATTAAAGTAGACACATTGCAGTTAATAATAGAAAAGTGACCACCTCTACAGGTCTTCGATCTTTTAAAATTTTCCATTAAATATTGCATCATTTGCAATTTGAGTAATTTGCTCAATTATGTTTTGTTACAGATATTAAATGGTTTGAGAATTATTAGTATAAACTATTCTTTTTAGAAAATCCCTAAAAAAGAAATCTTAAGGTCACATGATCTTGGTGGCCAATCAACAGTTCTAGTTTAAGAAATTATTTGATCACATTATTTTTAAAAAATCGATTGTTTCTGTTGCTTTATGACACTATCATACACCATCACACTATGCGTCACTATAATAGGATTTTACATACATTTCATAATATTAATTTTTTAAATATTTTTTTAAGGGAATTAGGTTAGTAGTTCCTAATTAAAAAAAACATTGTTTAAAGCTTTTTCATTTTTTTTTTTTAAGATTGGAAATATTAGAGTTAAAAAAACACATGTTTCTAATAAGTTATTGAATCGCTTATGATAAAAATCAAGCTTTTGCATTAAACTTATATTTCAACTTAATATATATTAAGTTATTTAAAACCCAAAAAAAGCCATCACATTAAACATGCCCTTAACTAATTAAAAAATAAAATTTTGAATTTAAATATATAAAGTTTAAATATATTTTAATAATTATTTTATTGAAAAATTTAATAAATTGACATGCGGAAAAGACTTTAAGAAAGGAATGTTATTGTTTAAAATTTAACAAGACCAAGACTGCGTTCAACTTGTTTCTCAGTGCAACAGCCTTGTTCGTCAAAGTTTGTGTTTCAGAGTTATAGAGTTGAGAGAGGTTATAACCACAATTAAGTAGTCTCCTCGCCTGTAGTGGCTTTCCCGGTAGGTGAATTAACATAAAAATAAAAATAAAATAAAAAGTTGCAAAATCCATTGGTACTCTTTATAATTTTATATGATGATCTTTGCATTTATTGCAATTCATTGCAATCATATTTTAGAAAATCATAAGTTTAAATAAATTATTGAGATTAAAATACATATTTTTCATAATAAATTTTTGCAAAATATTCTTTATTTTTAGCAATCTTAAAGACTTTATTAAACTTTCATTCTTCTTTCTTTCTTTTTTTTTTTTTTTTTTGAAAAAATAAACAACAAAAAACAATTTTTTAAAATTATTTTTAGGAAAAAATCTAATGTTCATTGTGCTTAGAGATGGAACAGGATTTCTTCAATGTGTTTTAAATGATCAGCTTTGCCAAACATACAATGCTGTCAGGTTAAGTACTGAGTCGTCAGTACTGTTGTACGGAACTATACAAGAACTTCCTGAAGGAAAATCAGTTAGCATTTTTTTGATTGTTTAAACAGCAATTTAAGATGTTTAATTATAAAGTGAAGATATTTTTCATAAATTTAAGTTAATTTTGTTATTAATATTATCTAGGCACCTGGTGGTCATGAAATGATTGTTGATTATTGGGAAGTTGTTGGATTTTCTCCTGCTGGTGGTCTTGAAAATGTTGTAACTGAGGTATATAAACTAAATTAATATATATTGACACTGGGATAAACTGTAGTTGCTAAACTATACAAACTGTTCTAATGAATGTGTGTTAACTTTATAAACAGTAATTAATAGGTATGCAATCTGTAGCAAATAAATGATTTGGCCGGACCAAAATTAGTAAAATGACTCAATAAATTATTGAGAATAATATAAAAAATTTTGATAGTCAGTAGTAGTGTTGTAGTGGTAGAACGCTCACTTCATAACGAGAGGTTTTAAGTTTGATCCCCATCATATTCCTGGTAGTACCACGCTCAACTTGTTTCTTTGTACAGCCACCTTGGTTGTCAAGGTTTTTGTTTTAGGAGTTTTAGAGTTAAGAGAGGGGTGTAACCATAATTAAGTAGTCTCCTTGTCTGTAGTGGCCTTCTTGGCCTTGTTGAAGTGAATTAACAAACAAACAAAAAAGAAAATACTTTTTTATTTAATTTAGCTTTTAATTAGATGGTGGTAAAAGTAGTGCAGTTTTTTAGTTTAGAAAAGTTTTGTCTTTAAACTTTACATATTGAATAGTTATAATTTCTGCAGGTCTCTATGAATCAATTAGTCTGTTGGTTTAAAATTTATAAGTTAATGTTTAAGTTTAGAGTTTTTGTTTGAATTTTTACCATATTTATTTAGCAATCCAGTATTGATACACAACTTGACAATAGACATCTTACCCTACGTGGTGAACATGTAAGTGGTTTTTTTTTTGTTTTGTTTTTTTGTTGTTATTTTTTGTTTGTTGTTGTTTTTGTTGTTTTTGTTGTTGTTGTTGTTTTTTGAGTAAAGCCTTTCTTCATACATTCTTATATATTTTTATAATGGCTCACTTAAACTATTATAAATTGAAATAATTATTTTGTTTTAGTTGTCCAAGATTTTAAGAATAAGATCTACTGTTACTCATTGGTGAGAAGTTTGTGTGTGTTTTTTAATATATATATAAATATATTTATCTATATATATCAGGCCTTGTTTTAAAGCTTGCGCACCATTTATGTATGCACTAAGCCATTTAACATAAGCGGTAAACCATTTCACTTAAGCTATTATGTATAATTTTTAATATTTAAACAAGTCTAAAGATATCATTTAAGTGGCAACAAGTAATTAACCTTATAAATACTTATAAAGTTTGAATGGCGATTATGTAAAAAAATCTTTCATAAAAATTATTTTTGATATTTTCGCTATTTACATGTAATAATGTAATAAGTTTTAAAAAAAATTATTTTCATTATTCTAACTTTTCCACCAAAAATGTCCAGCAAAAAAAAAGGAAAAAAAAAAGAGATTATACAATGCTTGAAAAAAGAAATCATTAAAAAAAAAAAACATTAAAAAAAACTTGTTTATAATCGTGGAATAGCAAAAATATTTATTTAGACAATTTCTTATAACAAACAATAACAAAAAAAATAACAAAATTTTATAAATAATTAAAAAGCAAAACAAAAAATTATTAGCTAAAAAATAGTTTAATTTTTAATTAAAAATAAGATTTTAAAGATATTTTAATTTTTTTGTTTGTTTATTTTGTTATAATGATTGATTTTATTAAAAAAGTAAAAAAACATTACATTACAAAAAAAACATTAAAAACATTAAAAACTTTAAGTAACATTTTATAAAGAGTTTTTTTTTATAAATAAAAAAAAAAAACTTGTATAGGTATAACTCTGTTATTAACTTTTCTGCTTGAATTTACGCTTAAAGCAATATAGCTCTTGTAATGCCTTCGTTTATATTTATAAGTTTTATTTTGCAAAAAGTAGTTGTTAAGAAAAATAATAATTTATAAAAGTTACATCAGCTTTATATAATTAACAGATTGTGCCCTATTAAAAAAGTGAAAACAGAAATTTTCTTATAATTTAGAAAGAATTTTGAATAAAAAAGTTAATTAAATTAAAAAAAAAAATTTTTTTTCTCAATTATTCTTCCTCCTTTTTTTTTATATATAAAAAAAGTAAATTTCTTGTAAACATGTTATAACTTATAACATGTTATAACTTATAGCACTGCATAAAAATATATTCATAAAGCGTATTTTCAATTTTTTTGCTTTTTTTCAATTGCAAGCACAACGGTATATATTTTCTAATAAATTGTACTTGGAAACTTAAATATTTGTTTGTTACAAAAAAAAAAAGCACTGGTAAAGTAATTAACTTTAAGTTTTTTTCTTTGCATAAAGTATTTTTGTTTGTTAATAATTTTTTAAAAGTAAAAAATCATTATTTGCAAAGTTGCAATTTTAAGAAATAATGAAAAAAAAAATTAAGATATTTAATTCCTTTATACAAATGACGAGAAAATAAATAAATAAATTTATGTTAAATGATTATAAAAATAAATAAATTTAATATTAAATAAAATTATTTAATATTATTTAAAAAAAAAAAAATGAAACAAAATAGACATTCCACAATATTTTTACATTCAGAAAATATCACTTTTAGATTTGTTTTTCTTAATTAGTAAAATAAACTTGTTTTACTAATAAAAGAAAATTACTTGCTGTAATTTATTTTATTGCAGTTAAAAAAGGTAATTTCCTTATATATATATATATATATATATATATATATATATATATATATATATATATATATATATATATATATATATATATATATATATATATATATATATATATATATATATATATATATATATATATATATAATATATATATTTTCCACTGAAATAAAAGTCAATATAGTTTTTTAATTTGTTTATGTTGACATCAAACCTTATGCAGGCCTTGTTAAGAAGAATCACTTTTTAAGTACAAAATGAGAATTTTACCTACGTTTAAGCCATTTTTGTTATGCCAAAGCTTTATTAAATTCAATATTTAAACAATCTATTGAAACAGTTTATGCAAAAAACATTAGGCAGTTAATAGCTGTTAAAAAAACATTTTTGCTGCAGTTGCGAAATAACTTTTTTTAAGATTTAAAAAAAAAAAAAAAAATTTTTTTTCTACTCTTTTTCTAAAAAATTTTCAATTTAAATTTAATTGGAAATTAAATTTATTATTAAACATTGATAAATTTAAATTTATTAAATTTAATTTAATAAAATAAATTCCATTTAATTTAATTTTATTCATAAATAATATAATCTGTAGGCAAAATTATTTTAGAATAAAATTGTATTAGAGAATTGTTTTAGTAAACTTTAGAAAACAAATTTATGAAAAAATGTTTATTTTTTCATTTTTTCTTTGAAATTATTTTTAAACAAAAGTTTTTTCATTATTATTATTTGATCATAGAATAAACCTCAATTATGATGTTAAAAAAGGTGTTAGAGGTAAAATTATGATCAATGTGAAAATTATGATGTGTGTTATGAATGTTTAAATAAATTAGTAGTATAAGTGTAAATAATTATAAGTTTTTTAAAATATGGAAATATTTTTCCAAACAAGATATAAATTCTATTGATAATTTTTTTTATCGCAATATTGTTTAATTTAAAGATATTTTAAAAAGATATTTGAAAAAGATAAAAAGATATTTAAAAAAAAAAAAAAAGATTTTTAAAGTGGTTTTGAATTAAATTTAATTACAATGCAGTACTTTAAATTTGCAACTTTAATTTAACTTTTTATTATGCAAATATGTAAATTGAGTAAATTATATTTACTTGTGCTATGCTTTTCCTTTATTCAACAAATTTTCATAACGAGGCCTACTGTGTTGTTAATGATTATGTATTACAAATGAGTTGGTTTCATTGTGAAATCTATATAAGCAGGAGTGGAAATAAATGTCATACATCGGGGCCCCTCAGATTGTATTTGAGACTCATATGAGTTTGGCAGCTATTTAAAAATACAAAATATTGAATTATTTATTTTGTATTTAAAATTTATGTGTTATTTGGTTTTGTCTCAATTAACAACTCTTTTATTTACCAGCAACCGTATAAGACGTGTTGTCCTTAGAAGAGGAAAAAAAAAATTAATGTATCTTATATGTTGTTAATACATACAAAGCCTTTAGCTAAAAAATTTTAAACAAGAAATCTTAAATAGAATATGAAAAATGCAATACCATATTTTTATATTTTCATTTTAAATATCAATATCAAAGATATAAATAGCAATATCAAGATATAATATTTTCTAGATATTAGCAGGGTTTTTTTTTTTTTGAAAATCTAATTAAACAAGAGAATTTTAATTTTGTTAAAATGGATTCTTTTAAAAACTGATAAAAGTATCATAATCATTTATTAAATGATTATTTTAATTCTGTTCAATATTTTTTCAAATCTGAAATTTAAGTATTTACTTTTACTTATGAAAATATCAATCGTCTTGTTATACCAAAATTTTTCTTTTGCTTTATTTTATAACAAAACAAATGAATGAAAAAATTGAATAAAAATATTAACTGAAAAACCCTTTAAATGAAAAAATTAAATATACTTAGATTTTTAATATGCTAGATCAAGAAGCATTAAATCTAGAAAGACATGAAACCTAATAAGTTTAATATTTTTTAGAGTTTAAAACAAGTTTTGGGTTTCACGTTTCGAGGTTTTTTTTAAATTTGATTTCTTTTGGTCTTCATTTATTGTGCAAGAGTATTTTGCAAGCAGTTTAATGTTTTATGTTTTCGTCATCAGTTCTATTTTAAACAGTTTTTTTATAACTGTTTAAAGTGTTTTATATAATGTAATATTTGGTGTTTTTTTAATTTATATTTTAAAGTATCATTTTAAGTAAAAACAATTACCAAAACTAATATTGTAAAAGTAATTTATACATTTCTTGCACATTATAACATCAACTTGAGCTATAAATTATAACTTAAGCTGTAAATTTTAACTTGAGCTATTTTAAACTGG